GTAGTAGTGGACGTCGCCACCGTGGTGCACCACCACCGCCGTGAGCAGCCGCGCCAGCGCCTCGCGCCGCCCCGCGCGCTCCTCGTCCCCCGCGCCCGGCATGAGGCCCCACAGCGACCGCGCCACGTCCACGTCGACTACGCCGCTGTCACGGTGAGTGCCACGGGAAGCGTCCAGGTAGTCGTCGTGCGTGACCGCCGAGGGGTCGGCGCCGGAGAGCGTCACCCAGTGCCGCGCGCGCAGCTCGCTGTTGACCAGGCCCCGCACCGCCGCCAGCTTGCGCAGCTGCCGCAGATCCTGGGCAGGGCGCAGAGCATGAGACATGCGAAAGCAGCTGAACGGCGCTGTTGAAATGTGGCATGCGGCCCGTCCTGCAGGGCTGGTCATGGCGCTGCATGTGCGCGCAGTGGCGGTCACTACCGCGGCACGTCCGGCACGCATCGGACCACGCGGCATGCAGCCGCGCGCTTGCCATACCACTAAGCGGACCTGCCCATCCTCAGAGGCCTCGTTGAGCAACCGGATGGTGTCCTGACCCCGTTCTCGATCCTTGTGGGCTGCGCTGGGGACCTGCAGGTGTGCCCGCCTGTGGCGTTTCTTCTTTTTGCTTGTCATCTCATCGATGAATGCGCTCTGAGGGACGCAGATCGAGTGAGGCGCGAGAGACGCGCGACGATGGGACTCATGCACGCTTGATTAGCTTGGACTCTGAGATATGTGGAAGCTTTTTATCTGGTGTCCTGGCTACCGTAGTTGTGGCGTACCGTATGTCGTCACAGCACCACGAACTTGCCACCCCGGCAACCGAACGCAACCGCACGTCGACTTGGCACGCTTCGTCAGGCGCCGGGACAGGCCCCGTTTGCAGCAACAGCCCTGATAGATATACCATGTGACAGTATCAGAAGTGAAAGGCGCATAACGCGGGCACCAAACAGCATGCCCGCATGTAACGCGGGCCGTTGAGGGGTGTTGTGTTCAATCGAGTGTCCAGTATTGGGAGCGCAGGCAAGGGACCGCTACTACTGGCAGGACATGCACCAGCCAGGCTTGGCTTGTGGGCACTGCTGCACTCAGCCCTCAGCACATTGGCAGGGTGACTGAGCTCAAAGGATGGGGGTCGTCTGCCGCCTGCGCCTGCCGTCGTGCCAAGTTGGGCGACGCGCATTAGCCACAACAGGCGGTGCAACACTTGAAGGTCCACCACAACCCAGCCCCCTTTGGTTTACGCATTTCGTTGATAGACCATGGAGCAAGGGCGGGTGCAGAGCAGTGCTGCCAGCGTGGATGACCTCACTGGATTCAGCCAGGGCACGCCAGCTCGACAGGCCTAGGTCGGGCACGCGGCTGTGCCTAAAACTCCGCCCGCCATGAGGCACTGCCAAATGCAGCATGCAACAGGCCGATCGAGCACCGGGGCAGCTTGCCATGCACACGCATGGATGGGTGCTGCACATGTTGACACACAAATCCGCTGCGCACGTGCTCTGCGCGCTCTCGGGCCACCGACCACAGCACTGGCAGTCTGCAGAGAAGTGCATTAGATCAAGAGGTCGCAACCCATCGCAAACCCGGGCTGTTAGGACGCAGAAACAATGCCTGGATTTTGGTGATACGATCTTCACCAAGCTGCGGAGTGGCATGGCTTCGTGGCAACAGCGGTGAAGGCCTACAGCAAACTTTTGTAGTAAGGATACAGGTGAATGACGGTGCTGGCTGTAAATATGATCTGCACTCTACACTAATAGTATCGAAGTGCCCGCCGGCCTCCGACTGCCTGCAACACTTCCTTGTGCCACCGCGCCAACCCTGCCTCTTTCTTGATACACCCTTCTGTGGGGCAAGAAGGCCTAGGCTGTGTTCACGATGGTGCGCAGCCGTCGCGTCGCCCTTGGCGTTGGGCGGCATCTGTGCGACTAGTACGGCAATCAGAAATGAATAATAGCTGCTGATGATATCGGATGTCTAGGCTGGGGCTGCGGAACATGAGCGGCGGCCACTGATAACACTGCTGCTGGTGCTGCTGCTGCTGCTGCTGCTGCTGCTTTGCGCACGCCCGAGCTACCACCAGCGCCAGCCAGCTCGTTCAGTGTACGCTCCGCAGTCGCCATGGCATCAGCATCTCCAGGCACTGCAGGCGCAGTGGCTCGACATCATGGGCCCTGGGGCTGCCCCTACGTTGCTGACAGTTGCGGCGCGGTGCGACGTCGCCCCGCCCGCCACCGCGCGCAGGTGAACATCCCCAAGACCAAGAAGGCCTTCTGCAAGGGGTGCAAGAAGCACATGACCATGAAGGTCACGCAGTACAAGACTGGCAAGGCCAGCCTGTACGCGCAGGGTGAGAGCTGCTGCAGCGAAGCCTTAGTCCTTCAGTCACAAGCGCTGAACGCGCGCGGCGCCGCGTGGCGTGGCTTGTGCAGACGACGCAGCATTCTGGGCGCTTCCAGAGATCAGCGGCGAGCAGCCTGCTCGATAACAGCGCATGCGCGCTGAGCTGGCCTGCCAATGCAGGGCCGCGGCGGGCTGCTACGCGTGAAGCGGTACATGCCGCTCACAACGGCCATATTTACAGCAGCAAGGCATTTGAATCTGGCGGCCCCCTTTGCCACGGCCATAGCTAGCCCTGCTCACCCACGCTCGCCCAAACGCATCATTGTCGGCACCCGGGCCCCACTGCGCAGGCAAGCGGCGCTACGACCGCAAGCAGGCCGGCTTTGGTGGCCAGACCAAGCCCGTGTTCCACAAGAAGGTGCGAAGGGGGGAGGCCGGCGGGCTGCTGGCCCCGGGAAGAGCCGTCTCAGGCCTTGTGTCTCAGCGACCGCAAGGCCAGGGGATCAAGCACCAAGGGGTTGACTGTGCAAGGTCAGCCAGACGGCTGACGTGGCGGTGTGGGGCAGCTTGCGGAGGATTGGCTGCGGGCCGGCTGCTCTGCCAGAGCAGCGGCGCCTGGACGCGGCTGGCGACGTGGGAGGGCGCAGGACCTAGTGGCCGTGCGCCGCGGCTGGGTGTGGGCGGCGGCGCGAGCCCCTGGCTGATGACAGCAGTGGTGCCCGGGGGTGCTGGCGTGTGTCTGGTGATGGCCGGCAGCTGTCTGCGGCATTCCGGCTGCGGGCTGCCGGCTGCTTGGCAGTGCAGCTGTCCTTGGTCCCCCCTTGGCCCCCCCTTCAGCCTAGTTGATGTGCAGAGGTACACCCCCGCATGTTGTAGGCCCCAGATGTGCAGACGCGGAACCCGTCTGCCCCTTTTCTGCGCACCTGCCCCCTGCTTGCCTCACCGCGTGCCTCCCTTGCCCCCCCCTCCTGCAGGCCAAGACCACCAAGAAGATCGTGCTGAGGCTGCAGTGCGCCGAGTGCAAGGGCACCAGCATGAAGCCCATCAAGGTGGGGGGCATGCTTGCCTGGGGGGGGGGGCGAGTGGCTGGGGTGGAAATGAAAGTGGCAATGGCTTCGAGCATCAGCAGAGTGCTGGGCTGTGAGAATTCGTGACTGGGGGCTCAGAGCAGCATCAGCTGGGCAGGCCGGACAGCGGCGGTGGTGCATGGCAGCATGGTGGCCGCGCGCGTCCTTATGCCTGTGCCCAGCTGCAGCATCCCCACTAGTTCATTTGCTCAACGCTGACACTCTTCCTCTGCGCTTGGCGTCTTGTCCCCTGCCTTCTTCCACTGCGGGCCCCACATCACAGCGGTGCAAGGTGCGAAGGCCGGCACGACAGGCAGCACCGCAGTGGGGTCCTGTCTCAAGGCTTGCAGCACCCCGTTTGCACATGCCCGCGCGGCAAGGCTTTCATGTGCTGCTGCCTTGCTTGTTTGCAGCGGCGCACAGTACGCGCTTGCGTCGCAAAGCATTCCCTCATGCTCTGAACACCTGGCGCCCCAACCCGCACCCGCGCCTACTGCAACAGCACTTCGAGATCGGCGGTGACAAGAAGACCAAGGGCGCGTACTAGGCGCCGCCCCCGGGCCTGCTGGGTGCACAGCCGGTGTGTAACTAGCGGCTTGAAGAGGTGGCCTGGGGCAGTGGCTGCGCCGTTGTGGCCGCCACGCCTGTGCAGTGGGGATGTCTCGATCAGGCCAGCAACGCCCGCAGCTGCTCACTTGAGCAGCGAGGCTTTGTGAAGCAAGTCAGGTCCGTGTCCCAAATTCTTGTATTCCTTGTCCTATGAGTACTTGTGGCTCAAGAGCAGTGCGGCCGGCAAAAGCAGTGAATTTGGGCCACCTTGCCGGCCACCCCAGTACCCGCATGCCGGCAGCTGCACCAATTTCAGTGCTGCGGCCAGCTGGTCGCCATCCACAGTCGAACCCGCAAATATATTGTCACTTTCTGGGGATGTCACCGGGATCGAAGCGGAAAGTTCTCCGCGGTCACTCGCCCAAGTGATCACCCAGCTGTGGGGGCCACGATCAAGATTCAAGTATATTACTGACGTCCGGTCCGTTTGTTACAGTACCGTAAAACTGTTACGTAGGTACGCATCAGCGCGTACAAGAAGCCTTCTAAGGACGGCAGGATGCAGCGATCGACCTGCTTCGCGGTGCTGGCGTGCCTCCTCGGTGAGCCTGGTGCACAAAATCTGCGATTTCAGTCCCGATCAAATGATTTTGGCCACGAATGAACGTGCTCAGGGGCTGTTCCAGGGAAGCTTGAACCTGTTGGTAGCCCGTTGATCCCCAATGCCGCTTGCCATCCACAGCCGCATCGTCCGTGGAGGCACGCTGGATGCTGCAGGTGTCTGATGTGACCAACGCGGTCAACTCAGTGGCAACCGCCGCGGCCGTGCCGTTTGCGCCGGCCCAGCCGGCCACGGTCAAGCCCGCTGCTGGGCCCGCCGCGACTGCTGTGCCAGCTGTGACCGCCGCGCCGGCGCAGCCCGCCGCGGCGGCCGTCGTTGCGCCCACCACAGCGGCCGTCCAGCAGCCGACTGCAGCGGCCATGCAGCAGCCTGCCCCTGGGGCCATCCAGCAGCCCCCTTCTGCACTGGGCCAGGGCCTGGTGAGCCCCGCGTGGCTGACAGCAGCCGGTTCCTCAGAAGACACAGCCAGCGAAATGCCTTGCTGTGTGTTGCTGTATGCATGCAGTGGACGCGCGTTTGTGCTGTCACTGCTCAGCCGCATCTGCTTATGAGCGAAATGTGAGGCAACCCCCAACTGGTCTCGATGGCGGTCCTCCCGAGTGTCTCGAACCCCAACACACATGCACAACGTGCATCTGCGTACGTTTCAACCATACACGCGCGCGCGCGCGCGCACACACACACACACACACACACACACACACAATCGTGCGTGCACCCACACACACCCCACACTCATGCACAATCGCGCGTGCACCCACACTCACACAACTACACCCAACCAAACTATCATGCCAACCGCAGTACGTCCTCCCCGACGCCGTTGCGCCCCAGCCAGCCGCCCTTGCGCCCCAGCCGGCCGCCCTTGCGCCCCAGCCGGCCGCTTTTGCGCCTCAGCCGGCCGCCCCTGCGCCGGCCGCTGCTGCGGCCCCTCAGAACCTCGGTCCCGCCAAGCCCGCGCCTGCGAAGGACCTGCTGGTGGGTTTACTGCGCCATGGCGCCGGATGCCTCACCACTTATACACGCTTGCGTCCTGGGGCGTGCAGAGGGAGGGGCCAGCAGCAGTGGAGCAAATCAGCAGCTGCAGCAACAGCTGTTGTTTTGTACGCAGCAAGTCAGCAGGGATGTGCCTGGTGGATGAGAGATCGCAACGTCGAGACACCCAAGCATTCATAAAGCAGATATTGTTGCTTGCACAGGGAACCGGGCTGAGCTGTGCGGAAACGTGCGGCGCTTGCGGCACGTTGTGCCCACCCACAACTCAGGCCAGGCTGCTCCGCCCCAACCACATTCCTCCGGAGCACCCCCTAGACTCGTCCCCGCAGGCATGAACCCCTCCCCCGTCAACCCCACCCTCCCCAGGTGGTGATGTCTGCGATGGGCCAGAACCAGCCTGATATCTACAAGAACCAGCAGAAGCTGCGGCAGCAGGTGGCCGCCACCGCGGGGGTCGACCCCAAGAAGGTGAGGGGCCGGCCCTTTCTTGGGGGGAGGAGGGGAGCGGCGCCGTGCTGAGCGTAGCGGCAAGGCTGTGGCGGAGGTCGGGTGGCAGCAGCGTTGCGGTTCAGCCTGTTGTTGTGGGATGTGGGGACCTGCGCGCTGCCGTTGTGGAGCAATCAGTATGACCAGTTGGAGCGGAGGCAGATGCGTCGGCCCTTCCAGCCACCTGCCGGCACGAGCATGCGGCGGAGCGGCACCTGCCTGGGTCTCGACGCGCCCGCTGCTGCGCCCATGGAGAGCCCCTGGACCGCCTGCTTCTGGACCTGGGCGGCGCGCCTCGCCCTGGGTCTCCCCCGGCAACAACTCACCCTGGACACCCACACACGTGCCGCTGCTCAGGTGCTGTTCTACAACCAGACCGCCAACGTGGACAAGACGGGCACGTCGACCCTGTCCCTCATCCTGCACGTGGCCTGCGACAGCGTGGAGGAGTGCGGCAGTGCGGGCGCCAGGCTGTTCAACCCCACCAGCCAGGCCAACCTGACAAACAACCTGGCCAGGGACGCCAACGTGCAGGTGCGGGGGAGCAGGGGGGGGAAGCAGACGGGCAGCGTTGAGAAGGGGGGCAGACTGCAATGCGGAGGTGCAGACAAAGGTGTGTGGTGCACACTAAGAGGCCCGGCCGCAAGAAGCGGGCTGGCGGCTCGCTCCGGTTTTGCTGACCTCCCGAACCGCTGCGGGGCGCCTCGGCTGCACAGCCAAACACACCGAGAGGAAATTTCGGGTGCCCGCTTTGGAGGAACACACTCCGAGCGCCCCATTCTTGCTCCCATACGAACCCCAGGACGCTTGCCCGGCATTCTCACCCTTGCCCCCTGCCCTGCCC